TGAAAGAAAGTCAAACTTGATAAAAGGTCTACAAAGTTGACTATATTGCCAAATTTATACTGTAGATTCAGTACAACTGATACAGAGAGAAGTGGAATATTCATATATTCATATATATAAATATATATAATCCAATAAAATCATATTACAGTGGTCTCCATAAATTACAAAGGACCCAGCAATAAAATAATATGGTATAGAGCATGCTACTCAAAGACTACAATTAAGAACCCACCAACTTTGATTTGACTCCACAAGAAAATATTCTACAGTTTGGAATTGAAATTAACCCAAAACATGCAAAAGAGTTCTATGTTTCTCCACTACTAAAGATGCATCTCACATAATGCTATTGTAAAGGATACTTCAAGTTTCAGGGTAACTCCAAGTTATTCTAATTTGAAAAAATGAAGAAAAAAAGTGTGATCAAATTTTTTAAATAATAAATACTGCCAACATTCATGGACTTTATTAAAATTCTAATCTATGTTTATCTTTAATATGTATGTGTGTTTCGCAATATGTACAATAGTCCAAATGTAGTAATCTTGGGTTACTCCTCTGATGATAGTTTTTTAATATTAAACTGTCCATAGGGGCAGCCTGGGTGGCTCAGTGTTTTAGCGCCGCCTTCAGCCCAGGACCTGGTCCTGGAGACCAGAGATCGAGTCCCACGTCAGGCTCCCTGCATGGAGCCTGCTTCTCCCTCTGCCTGTGTCTCTGCCTGTCTCTCTCTCTCTGTGTGTCTCTCATGAATGAATAAATAAAATTTTAAAAAATAAAAAAATAAACTGTCCACAGATAGACTTGATATCAACTCCTTACACTGAATCTCATATTTATATAAAATAATCCTTACCACTCAAAATAAAATAGATTCCTATTGCCTTCGAATCACCCTATTGGATAATTTTCATTTTAAAGCCTCTCCTGATTTGCTTAAAGATGAAGGTAGCATGAACAGGAAATGTAGACATGTTGTGAAGAGCTTAAATGCCAACTCATCCCATTTTCTCATTATAAAGAGAAGGGAACAAAGGTTGAGAGTTTGGTGTCTCATCCAAGGCCACGTACTACAATGCAGTGGCAAAGCTGGAACTACAATCCAGTTCCCTGACTCTTATTCTGATTTTTTTCACCTACACTATCCTCCACCAATATCAGATGGAGGCTTCTCAGCAGCTGCCATTTATCCCATCTCATGCAAATTCTACTGAAGAAATGTAGTAATTTAAGTCAGAAAGTATTCATTGTGTACCTACACACATGGCAGATGGTAAGGCGGACACATATAAAGCTGACTAAGTCTAGTTTCCTATCCTTGGGAGGAAGACACTTTCCTGGTTGATCATTAGCCACTATCAGTATTGCAGAAGAGCTGCCATAGAGATAGCCCATGCTGGGAAGGAACAGTTGTTAAGAGGGAGTCCTTCCAGGTTAACACACCTTCAGAGTGCTTTGTGAAGTAGGTGGCATTGAGGAAGATTTTGGCAGGTGGCTTGGTATTTGTTCTGGAGAATTAGTTCATTCTTCCCCAACTTATTCCATTTTAACCAATAAAAAATATAATCGAAAAATATCGTAGACTATATCTGGTCAGTGAATGGTGGGTCAGAATGTTTCTACAGACTAAATAGATAAGCCTGCAGACTACTAAATGCACATTAATTCATAGTTTTGTCAAAGTTATTCATATAAATCAGTCCCAACACAACACTTTCATTTTATAGTAGAGCAGTAAGGGAAAATATTATTTTATTTGTTTATGGATTTTAAAATGATGATCAGAGAAATTAAAGACTTGTCCGTGGACATATGGCTGACAAGTGGCAGAACTGAAGCTAAAACTCATTTTTTCCCACTCCTTGCATTTTCTATATGACCATGTTGTCTTTACAACTTTATAGCTTTCAAATTCATTTTTATGAGCATTACATCATAAGGAGGAAGATATATATACAAGGTCACAAATTTTCAGAACACCACTACAAAACCAGTCTTGATAAATCAGATATCATTGTCATACCCTATGGACTCGCTCACAACCCCCTGTCAGAACAACCTAGTTGTTACCGGGCAGTATCCTCTAGGTACGGTCAGTCAGGCATTGTATATACATTCACCTTCTTTCCTAAGAAAACTAGAAACACCTGGATTATGTTAGGTCACTTTTGGGTTTCTACAGCTGGATTTTATGCTTCTCCCCTCTTAAGGAGTTGACAATCTGGAAAAATCTTGATATTCAGCCAAGAAAACAAGAGCTTTTCATTTTAAACATGAACATTTCTATATGTTCTGGCAAAGGAGTGGAGTGGGGAAGGTGAGCTGAAAATTATTCCTTATGGTGTATAAATAAAAGTGGGCAATAAGAAAGATGGGTCATGACCTTCAATAGGGATATATTAAGCAAAGAAAACCACCCCCTTTTTCTTCCTAAACAATCCTTTTCAGCATAACAAGTGGCTGCATGACTCAATAGCTTGGTCAGTAGTACCCAGTGGAGAGTAACTTCAGGCCGCCTGTGTTTCAGTTGGACCATCTGCTGTGTGGGTCTGTGCAGCTGTGCCTCCACTCTGTAGTTCCTCCACCCTCTCTCAAAGAGACACTTGAAAATCTCACTTCAAGCAGAAGGCAGGGGGCCAGGGGTGGGGTGGCTCTGCTTACTCTGTAGCACACTATTTCTCTGGTTGAAAAGCTTCTGATGTAAAATTAGTCATCAATTTAGCTATTTTTTCCATTAGTCTAAACTCTGGCTTTCTGAATGTAATGTGTAGATGTAAAATATCCAAACCATGGGAAGAGCTACAGTTTCCAAGACATGAACTTTGAGGCCAGCGAAGTTCAGAGTAAATTTGACATTAACCAAATATTACTTCCCTGCTCAGGCTGTGAGCTAAGAAGTCTCCATACTAAAAACAAGAAAGGGAGGTTTCCTACACAAAGGAACATGAAACACTCTGAAACAGTGTGAAACAAGGGGTCTTTGGCTTTTTAACCTATGACAAGAACAAGCCAAGGCGTACATGTGGGAGGGGTGGCAAATGCCACTCTGCATTTACCAATTATGAAATATGTTCATCGCCCAGCCAGGGGAAAGTCAATGCAAGTAGGCAAATTCAACCTGCTGCTACATCATTTCCTTGGCCAAATTTGAATTATTTACACATATATTAATCTTCCATGAATGTACAGCTCAGTGCCTATGTGCAACTAGAGATATGAGGGCAGATATGCCCCTTGTTAAGATGTTCCTTGCCATGCAGGCACTCCCAGCATCAGCCCTACCCTGATGCTGTACTTTTCATCTATTTCAGCATTCTCACATGCTGATTTCTGTCCAGCCAATGCCATGAAAGGCAGGCTGCTGTGCTCCAGCTTCTGTCTTGCAACCATCCAAAACTTTCCTCTATTGCTCCTGATCTTGCATCATTCTGGTTCCACCCAGCAACTAACTCTTGACTTTGCCTCCCATCGGCCAACCTGAAAGCAGCTCCTTGTATTTAATGGCAGCACTTGTGTGTGCTAGTGTTAATCCTCCATGCTCCCTAAGGACAGTGAATCAGAATCATCCATTGACTTGTTCCACTCTTGGACACACAGATGGTAACTTCTTCTTTCCCCTGCCCAGCTCTGGTCCCTGGAACTCAAACTGCAATCCTGACCCATCGAACTCCAATCCCAGTGGAGTTAGGGGTGGTGTTCGGGCATATCATCCATTGTTCTCTTGCAAAGCATCTTGTTACCTTATTAGGGAATCTCATGCCATGGAAATACACAAAAAGATTACCCTCTTCAGGTGAGAGGGTCAGAATGAAATAAGGGGATGTTCATGAGTATTAGTGAAATTATTAAAAAAAAAAAAAAAAACAGTTGCAGCAAAGAACATTCCTACCTTCTCATTGTAAACAGCCAAAAGCTACAATAAGTTTGCTCCTAGGAAGAGAACTCTGCTGCTACTTATAAAAGACACATTAAACAGTCTCTGGTGTTCATAGAATAATATGAGAAATATCAATACCCACAATATTTTTAGAGAGGCTCCAAATACAGTCATTGTTAAGGCCACAAACAAAGCATTAGGAAAGCCTAAATAAAAAAAAAAAAAAAAAGCCTAAATAACACACTCATGTATTTTGCTTGGAAGTTGAGAAATATACAAGAGGCGCTCCTATTCAGTCAGAGAAGGCATCATACAAGAAAATGGGTTGTTAGGATCATTGAAAACTAGTAGTGAGGCCGTTTAGAAAGCCTGGCAAAGGATTCTAAAGGCAAGAGACCACAAGCCATCAGACTTAGATTTGAGCAGGGCATGTGACTAGGGGGAGAGGATGCTATGGAAGGAAACATGTAAAGGGGGGAAAAGAGGAAATAATAGTAGCTACTACTCTTTACCCATAAAGAAACCAAGGTTTAGAAAAGATGGATAATGTCCTGGACCCAGGTTATATACTTCCTCACCCAACATTCACTCAGAAATTATTTCCTATTGCTCATGACCCTTCAGAAAGCTTTCCTAGGACCAAGCACAGTCTGAGAGGAAAGTTCATGTTTGTCTTCATGGTGGTCTGTGTGCTAAGCCAGCTAAAACTGCCACTACAGCTGTTCCTGGAATCTGATGCTACTGTGGGCAGAACTGAAAGCCATCTTTTCTTTCACCTCACTCCTGGGACCTTCTGCCTCTTGCCAAAGACTATGTTTTATTCACTGTGGTGTGAGGCACCATATGCCCCTTTTGGTGTTCACATATAGGCACTAGTTCACCCCTTAATGTAGTGTAGAGAAAGGCTAGCCAGAAGGCCCCTGGCTTGCTGCTGCCTACAGTGTGCTCTCTGGACTGTGACTCACATGGAAGAGGCAGCTGCCATCTTGGACCTTTACTGTCACAGCGGCTGTTAGGAGTACCAGCTGGTACAACCCAAAAGTGCAGAGGGATCATGGGTCAAAGTATGACCAAAGGGAAATGAAAAATGATGGATAATTCCTTCTCTTTCTTCACACAGGTGAACTGTTCTGAGATATAATGACTCACACAGACTCTCTGAAGCTGTCCTGAAAGATTGAGCAATCACCAATTCTGGTTACAAATTCTGGCCACTTTGAGAATGTACTCCTTTGCATTTGTTCTTCATCCTGGGCTGCCTCCCTCCCTTTTTCTACCACTGTGTTTCTCTCAGATGATGCTTCTCACCAAAGTGACAACATCAACAACTTTGCCTCAGGCTTTGTTTTCTAGGCTAAGTGGGCTAAGGTAATGACATTTTTAATGCTGCACAATACTGGGATTTGAACCCAAACCAACTTCAACTATGATACATAGATGAACAGAGACCCCAGGTAAAGACAAAGAAGAGATCAAACTCTAATGGAAAAAAAAAAAAAAAAACAACAGTGATAGGCCTGTCTGAATTCCTAAACAAGAAATAAATAGAGCAAATCCGTAGAACAAGTGCTATATTCTGTAATTTTGGCTGTCTGCATGCAGAGGAAATTACAGCTACCAGGTCTTCTGCTTTTCATCTTTTCATTGTTACACACTGTCTTGCAATTATTGGTGGTCTTGATTTATCCTAGAAGAAGAAATTATCCAATGAAGATAACGAAAATTTGTCTTTAGGTATAATTTACTCTAAGTTCCTTTTAGTGCACTACCTCCAAAATGGGTACAAAACATTGGCTACCTCACAAGAGACTGTTTACACTAGCTCTGATTTTATGATAAAGACTGCAATTTAAGGATCTTGATCACAAAACACCAATTACCATACAATTTTTGCATTTGTTTATTAATGTTATTCTCATTCTACAGAGATTCTTCAAGAACATTTAAGTTAAATATCTACATGAGTAATAACAATAGAACACTCTCCTGTAAAATATCATCATCTATCTCAGAGGTATAATTTTTGAGATTTGTGTATCTTTGATTTCTTGCACTGTCTTTAGGAGCTTTTGGTTTTTACATAGAATGGTGACATTCCAGTAACAAAGAAAAGATCTCTAACCTATATTTTCCAGCTCTACTTTATGGATTTAGATCTAATTTTCTCTGTTGTGGAAGATGGGCCACACATTACAAAATAAATCTGCTCTGTCTTCTCTTCGCAAACTGGTGCATCTTCTCCCAGGAGTACTATTAAACAGATGCTACAATAATTTCCTTGGACTCTACCAATCCTCCTAGCTCATGTCCTTGAATTCTCACTCCAGCCTCTACAACATCATTGTTATTTCATTTATCCTCTTCCATACACCCTTCTCCTTTTTCCTTCATTTCATCAAAGACAATTCATTAGCAAAGATCATGGAGCTTGTTCACATAAAGCCACCATGACCATTAGAGAAAACTAAAAATATTTAAACTATCCCTTCTGTTACCCTTAACCACAAATATCCAGAATCAATGATAAGCCTGATATTGAAATCTTTCTTTTCCTTCAAATGTGCACAAATGAATCACCTGGAAGGTAAAAAATCTTAAACTGAATTCAATTGGAATTTGCAGCTTAGTGATGTCTGGGTTCCACATCAGCTGACCATCAGATCTTTAAGAAAGGGCTAGGAGAGCTGGAGGTGGTCTATTCATAAAACTAGTAAATGAGGTGCCCACAGACATCACTAGGGTAAATTTCATAGCTTCTATCTGCCATCGCTATTGCTGTAAAATTTTATGTGGTTGAAATAGAGATTAAGGGTGGATTTGGAGAGGAAAAGAAGTCACTTGTCCAAGTCCAAGAAGCCAGCCAAGAGGTGGGTATGGAAGTAGAAAGTGTCATCCAACTCTGGGCCTTGAGCAAGATGCTGGCAGTGAATACTTCAATGACTGAAAATAGGTCTAAAAGTATGATGTCCCTTTTAGGCTTGTGAAGCCATCTTCTCTTTCTCTGCCCATAGTTTTATAGCAGAGAGGTCCCCAAGCCATGAGGCTTGAATAAGATCAATTACTTCATGATTGGGACAACAGTGTTTATAGAGAACCACTTGTCAATCGAAGTTTTCTTTTTTTCTCATGAAAATAATCACTACCACTCAAGACAACATAATTGAATGGATTTTGATTTTCAGAAAAGTACGTGATTATTCAGAAATAGATTTTAAGAAAGTTAGTCATCTGGAACAGAAAAAAAATAAATATTTCTTGGCTCACTTTAAAAAAAATTTTAAGTGTCTTTTATTTGTTTATTTTTACTTTGACTTCAGTGGTTTCTTGGAATTCATTCAAGCCACTTCAACATGGCCATGCAATTCACATGCCATTCAAAGTGTACAGACCAATGTATTTCTAGAGAAGTTGAAAGAGGAGAGATTATCCATTTGATCACTTTTCTGTTTGAAAGAGAGTCTCCACTTAGTTTCTACTATGAATCTAGCTTTTGTACTGTGGCTGTTATTGAAGTTGAGAGGGGTTAAGAAAGAAATAAAGGAATATTACCTTTAGGCAATACTAAGTGTTGGAAAAATAATCTATATTTATTGAGATTTTGGACTGAAGATGGAACAGGACCTTAAAGTCAAGGAGTCAAGAGCTCCTTTTCTCCCAGAAAGAATGCTGTCCTTACTGAGGATCAAGGGGGAAAGAGTTATCCCTGCAAAGTCCATCCATCTGCATGGTGGTATAAATGGAGAGATCTAATGACCTCTCATGATTCCTTTCCCTCAAGTCTATAATTAAGGAAACACCAATATGGTTAAAAGAAAGGATAAAATGAAAAAAGAAGTCTTTTGGTAAAAATGACTTTTCTTCACTAGGGAACTCTCATGGTGCTCAACCTCTTCATGATTTTTTTTGATCCCTGATTTTTTTTCCATACTCAAATGGCTTTATATACTCCACTTTGGGTGGCAGAATTTAACAAGAATGTTAACAATGAAGGATGGATTCAGGATAAAGGAGAAGGAAGCAAACATTTTTTTTTAAATATTATAAAAATGAAGGTCCTGTTAAAAGTATCATATAAGAAATTGTTGGGTTATAAAAGAAGCTTAGCTGAGAAAAGACTACATGAGATAGTAATTCTGTGTGGAAGAGAAAAAAAGACATCTTATGTAACCCCTCAAGACAGAATTAGGGCTAAGATTCAGCATAATGGGAAGAAGAATTTAGTTTATTTTAAGAGAAAAAATGAGTTGTCTAACATCTGAACATGCTGCATAAATAAGGAGTGAGCTTTTCAACACTGGAAATATTTTAATAGAAACTAGATGACCCTTGACAGGGATGTTGCTAAGGGAATGCCTCCTTGGAAAAATGATTGTACAGTATTTCCAACTAAAATATTCCCTAATTACCAATCAGCACTGGTAATTATGATTAAAGTTTTTCAAATAAAGAAGCTGGCACCAAATCCACAAATTTACACAAAACTGCCTTTAAAGTTTATATTTAACTGCCAATATTATTTATTTATATTTGTATTTATTTAGTTTATATTTAACTGTCAATATTATTTATATTAAATTTAGCTGCCAATATTATTTATTGGTTCATCCATTCATCAAATAATTCTTTGAGCCCTAAAATATGCCCGTATGATTTTAAACACCATAGTAAAGTAATGGAAAAGCAGATGAGGGCACTGCCTTCATGGCACTTGAAATCTTATGGGGTACCACACAATAAACATCTTTACAAATAATATGTAAGATAACTTTTGGCAGTGACAAATTCTGTAAGGAATATAAAAGTAGAGTAATAGAGAAGCATGCCCCTCTGGCTCCCTTTAGCCAGGGTGAGTAGGGAGGTCCTCTGTTGGAAATGTCATTTGAGCTTAAGACCTGAATGAATTTTTAAAAAAGAACTGTCATGTTAAGATCTGGAGGAAGAAAGGCTTAGGCAGGGGAAAGGGGAAGTAGAAGGACTCCTAAGGCAGATATCTATATCCTGAAATAGAGTGAAGTCCAGGTGTCCTTTTGAGATCAGCTCAAAGAGAAAATCAGGATCCAGATGATGTAGGACTATGCAGACCATGGGAAGACATTTGGATTCTCCTCCCGTTGCAAGGGAAAGCTACCAGAAAACTATAAGCAGGGAAGTGATATGATCTGATTTACTATTTAAAATTATGCTGGCTATTGTGTAGAAAACAGCTGCCAAGAGTCAAGGGTGAAACCAGGAGGTCTAATTAGGAATCTAGAACAATGAGAACTAATGAAGGCTCAAGGAGTAGCATAATTCAAATAGCATGTTGGCTATTCTTTAGATGTTTAGACATCCCACCAATCTGAATGCTGTTCAAAATGGAAATGGCTTAATACTGTGCCTGTGTGTGTGTGTGTGTATATATATATATATATATATATATATATATATATATATATATAATACCTTGAGGAGTATACACATAGTATTTTTAAAATTGGGAACAGAAGTTGAACAGAAAGCAATCTCTGATACCCAAATAGGGAGCAAATTGTTGGAGAGTTTAACATCAACAACAGAAACAGAAAAACATGCAAAATTTTCATTTTATTCCCCTCCAAAACACTCTCACAGTTTTCTAGGGAAAGTAAAAAACTCATTGTGTCTAGTCATATAATAAGATCTAAATAGTAATTAAATTGTGTTTATGACACCTGCTGGGATGACTTTCTCTTCTAGCTGTGAGAAGACAACTTGGGAACAAAGCACGGACTAAATCTAGCCACAGAGCAATTAACATAACAAATGACAGGCTCCTCCGGGTTTGTGGAACTTGGGAAAAATAAGAAGCTAACTTGCAAATCTTCGTTCTCATTGTTTTGTATTTTACTTTGGGAATATGCAGTTGTTTGGAAACTGCAGGTGATGTGACCCATTCAAACTGTTAAACAAAATCCTACTGAGTAAATTTAAAGATTTAATTGGCTGATTCATGAGTTGGGCAGCTTCCCATCTAAGCAAATAGTAAAGAACTCCGTGGAGCTGTACAAAATGGAAGACTTTTATAGGCAGAAGAGGGCAGGAACAAGGAAGTTACTAGCAAAGAGTGGATTGTTTCAGGCAAAATCACCTTCCTGTTAGGTGATGGCAGGGGTCTATCAGGTGGATTACCTCACTATTGCTGACCAGGAAATTCCAGACTGACTAGTTAAGATTACATTCCTGGGAAAAGCTGAAACTGCAATTAGTTTAAGTATTAAGTCTCGGTTTGGTGACATGGGCTAAGCACAAGTGACTCCATTTTGGGCCTATTATTTCCTTCTTTCCTTTTTTTTTTTTTTTTTTGTTTAATAGAACCAAGACTTAAACAATGGTTTTATATGCAGATGGATAAGCCATCAATCACT